CCAGAGGGGCATTCCTACCTCGTTTGGCAGGGATGGCGGAGGCCATCTGAGGGTCTGGGACAGTTTCTCCAATGACTGGGATTCCCTTCCTCTGAGGGCCCCACCGAGAAGGGACAGCACATACAGAGGCTGCCAGACTCAGGACTCAAAAACGACTTAAGACCTGTAGCCCTGCTCTGACCGGTTTGGCTCAGTGGATAGAGCATCGGCCTGTGGACTGAAAGGTCCCAGGTTCGATTCCGGTCAAGGGCACGTACCTTGGTTGTGGGCACATCCCCAGTAGGGGCTGTGCAGAAGGCAGCTGATGGATGCTTCTTTCTGGTCCGATGTATCTAACTCTCTATCTCTCTTCCTTCCTCTATGTAAAAAATCAATAAAATATATATATATTTTTAAAAATGTAGCTCGGAATGATGGGAGTTCTCCCCGGGGGTTCAGTGGTGCAGCTATAGGAATCAGGGGGGAGGGGGCGGGAGCGTGTGGCCAGCTTAAAAGCATTAGGTGTGTCCAGAAGATTTAGTGCTTTGAGTTTGACCTCAGGTGCAATACGGGCCAACTCCTCCCTGGGTCACGTTAAGAGAAGGAAGGCTGACAGGCCTGAGGCTGCTCGGCCTGCAGGCACAGCCCTGGCCTCCAGGTTCCAGAAGCGCAGGTTCCTGGAGCGACTGGAAATCAGACGTGGGCGCAGTGGGAAGAACAGTCAGTCCTGGCAGAAGAGGGACTGGGTGTCTCACGGTCACTGAGAATGTTCCAGGAGGTAGGTACATTCTTCTCTGTGATGTAACCAAGACATCGCTGTGAAGAGAAAGAGCATGCACTTTGGATGGGACAGACCTAGATTCAAACTACAGCTGTGGGCTGCTTCACGGCCTTTCAGTCAACCATGGTCCACATAGACGACAGTGGTCCCATCAGATTCTATTCACGGCCCAGACTGTAGTGGGCTGTACCAGTGGTCGGCAAACTGCGGCTCGTGAGCCACATGCGGCTCTTTGGCCCTTTGAGTGTGGCTATTCCACAAAAATACCCCGTGCGGGCGCGCACATACAGTGCGATTGAAACTTCGTGGCCCATGCGCAGAAGTCGGTTTCCGGCTCTCAAAAGAAATTTCAATCGTTGGACTGTTGATATTTGGCTCTGTTGACGAATGAGTTTGCCCACCACTGGACCAACTAGGTTTGTGTATGTGTAATGACAACATCACCCAATGACACATTATCAGGGTGTATCCCCGTTAAATGGCACATGACCAGTCACCCTCTCTGAGCCTCCATTTCTTCTGCTGCCAAATGACCCTCAGACCTCAGGGGGCACCCATGCAGCCTTGGAAATCCCCGGGTGACGGCTCGAAGCAGCCAACGAACATCAACTGTTCGTCCCATTGAACTATCCTTTGGCTATCCCCACGTCCCCACCCAAGGCCCCAAGCCTGTGCCAACCTTCAGTGCCTCACGCTGCCCTTCCCTGCCACCATCCAACCAACCTGTGGGAGGGCAAGGGAGCAAGAGAGGTGCCCTCTGGTGTGCTGGGGTGTGCTCAGCAAGTAACAGAAGAATCCAGTGAGTGGCTTAAACCGTCAGAATGGCTGTTGCTCACTGAACAAGAAACCTGAGGCAGGTGGTCCCGGGGCTGCTCTGGGCCTCATCCTGTGGCTAAGAAACTGGGTTGGCTCTTCCCCCTCGGCCATCCTCTCACATCCGCAGTGTTTCCCCGCAGGATCCCAGGACTGTGGCCCTCCTTCCCATCCCCATCGTCACAGGGCTGCTTCCAAGCAGGAAGAACATTACCCCCCCTACCTCGCCCCTGTTTGTCTCTCTTTTCCTGTAAGAAGTCTCTTTCCCCAAAGCCCCAGCTGACTTCCCTTACACCGTGCATGACGAACTTGTCCCGGTCTGCCAGGTATTTTTCTGATGAGAACTGAAATTCCCAGGTCCTGGGAACCCCCTTAGTCCTGGCGATTTAACCTGATGGTCTCCGTACTTACACCCTATTGGCCAGAATAAGAGTATCCCAACTGTTTTAAACCAGTCAGGATTCACCTGCTGGGACACTGGGCGTGCTGCCATTTGAACTGGTGGGAGGCGGGGCAGGGTGGGGGCGTGGTTCTGTGGGCAAGGACTGGGATGACTGCTAGGTGGGCACCCTGTTGTGTCTGCCACACCAGCAAATACCAGAAATTAGCAGAATCCTGTCCCAATCCTGTCCTGCTCTTCCCCCATACACCCGTCGTCATCATCATGCTGTGTGTGTTTGTGACTAAGAGTGAAAGAATTAGGAGCATGACAAGGATGTTGGGGGAGGGGGAGGCGTAGAGGATGGCCCCGAATATAGCCTTCCTCGGTGATCTGGGAAAACAAGTTTACTTATTTTTAAGTTTTCAAAAAACAAATTTATTTTCAATTTGACTTTCATGTGGCCAAGTTAGTGGGCAGTTCTCCGGGCATGGCATCCAAATGGGCAGGTTTCAGGTTGTAACGAGGAAGACCAGAAACAGCTGCTCATTCTCCGAAGCTGCCCAATCCTTTGTCACTGAGTAGACATGGAGGAGGGGTATGTGAGCAGAAGGACAGCGGCTGAGTGCATGCTTCGGGGTCAGTCCCAGACACAGCTTCTTGGGGACACTGGGGTCACCCAGCCTGCTCACTTTTCTCTAGTCTCAGCTACACTCAGGACAGAACGGCCCTGAGTCTGACTTAGGACCCACCTGACACCAAATCTCATGATCTGTGAGATTCCAGCCCCAGGGCCAGTCACTTTATCCTAAAACTTTAAAGACAAAGACATTGAGAACAAGTCATTTGTAAGCCTAGAAAGGGTGTTCCATTCATCCCATTGCTCATTCATTCAAACAAATACTTACTGAGCATCTACTATGTGCCAGGCACTGTGGTGTGTTGGGAAGCGAACAGTGAACTTGACAAGTAAGATCCCCACCTTGAAGAAATTGACACTCTAGCCGAAACCGGTTTGGCTCAGTGGATAGAGCCTCGGCTTGGGGACTGAAGGGTCCCGGGTTCGATTCCGGTCAAGGGCATGTACCTTGGTTGCGGGCACATCCCCAGTAGGGGGTATGCAGGAGGCAGCTGATCGATGACTCTCTCTCATCGATGTTTCTAACTTGCAATCTCTCTCCCTTCCTCTCTGTACAAAATCAATAAAATATATTAAAAAAGAAAAGAAATTGACACTCTAGAGGTGGCAGACAGACAATAAGCCAGAACTAACACAGATATTTCATCATCAGTAATAAGTATAATAATAAAAAAAAAATAAAGCCAGAAAAGGGGTAGGGAATGGATAGGCAGGTTGGGGGTGAAGGATGCTCTCCTAGATCAGAAGTCTGCGAAGTACAGCCTGCAAGCTGCTATCTTAGTAAATAAAATGTCATCGGAACACAGCCAAGCTCATTTGTGTACACGTTGCCTATGGCTGCTTTCACGCTGCAATGGCAGAGCTGAGTAGTTACAACAGAGATGAAATGACCTGCAAAGTGGAACATAATTACTCTCTGGGCCTTAAACAAGTTAGCTGCCACAGGCAGATACTATTTCATACCCACTAGAACCCTCTCATCAAAAAGGCAATAGTGAATACTGCTGAGGATGTGCACAGGTTGGAATGGAAATGTAAAATGGTGCCGCCGCCAAAACCGGTTTGGCTCAGTGGATAGAGCGTCGCCCTGCAGACTGAAAGGTCCCGGGTTCAATTCCGGTCAAGGGCATGTACGTTGGTTGCGGGCACATCCCCAGTAGGGGGTGTGCAGGAGGCAGCTGGTTGATGTTTCTCACTCATCGATGTTTCTAGCTCTCTATCCCTCTCCCTTCCTCTCTGTAAAAAAACATCAGTAAAATATATTAAAAATAAAATAAAATAAAATGATGCCGTCGCCTAGGAAAACAGTCTGGCAGTTCCTCAAAAGGGTTGATTACCATAGGATACAGCAATTCTACTCCTCAGTATGGACCCAAGAGGAATGAAAACATACGTTCACACAAAAACTTGTACAAGAAAGCTCACAGCAGCATTGTCATAACAGCCAAAGAGTGGAAACAACCCAACAGTCCATCAACAGATGGATGAATAAATAAAATGTGGTATAGCCATACAAGAAAATATTCTCTGTCAATAAAAAGAAATGTAATAGTGATAGACCCTATCAGAAAGAATATATGTGGCCCTATGCTCATAGCAGCACACTTTACAACAGCTAAGGTCTGGAAATAGCCCAAGTGCCCATCAATAGCTGAATGGATAAAAGAAGCTGTGGTATATTTACACATTGGAATACTATGCAACTGTAAAAAAAAAAAAGGATCTCTTATCTTTTAAGACACGTGGAGGGATCTGGAGAGTATTACGCTAAGCGAAATAAGCCAGTCAGAGAAAGACAAATATCACATGATCTCATTTATGTGTGGAATCTATGAACAAAATAAACGGACAAACAAAATAGATCCAGAGACATGGAATCATGCAACAGACTGACAATTGTCAGAGGGAAGGTAGAGGGCAGGAAGAGATTAACCAAAGGGCGTATATGCATATATGCATAACCCATGGACACAGACAACAGTGCAGTGAAGGTCTGAGGAGGAGGTGAAAGTCGGGAGTAGGGGTTAATGGGGGGAAGGGATGTCTGTAATACTTTCAACAATAATCATACATTTTAAAAATAAATAAAATATACAATAACATCCCGATTATTATTGCCATTTTACAGTTGAGGAAAGTGAGGCAAAGAGGGATTAAGAAACTTGTGCAAGGTTACCCAGCTAGAAATTGGTAGAACCTGGATTTGCACTGAGGTATCAGGTCCTTATCTCTAATCATCGTATTATACTAACTCTCACTGTTAGGAGGTTCCGGTGAGATACCAGACGCCAGGACTCTGGCTCAAGGCCTGGCATGTGGTAGGTGCTCAATAAATGCTGGAGACAAAATTGAACGGACAGGTTTCTACATCCAGGGAGAGGGGGGAAATTACTCAAAGACTTTACTGATCATGATGTCTCATGCTTTTTATTTGATAAGACTCAACATGTTAAGATCTCTAATGAGAATGGCATGTAAAAATTCAGGGGAGAGAGGGAATCAGAATGGTGTTCCACTCAAACCTTGGTGGGTCCAAAGCCTGTCAATCTACTTCAGTGGGGGCGATTGTGGGTTTTAACCTCAGAACATGAATAGGGTGCAGAGAGACTGGAGGAGGAGGAAGGGTACAAGATAGTGGATTTGGTTCCAATCTTTCCACTCCACTGCCCCCAGCCTCTGAACCTCTCTCTGTCACTCCACACTGATATCACCTTACATGAACAACTGGGAGAGATCCAGTCTAAGAAGGAATCAGAGGGTGAACACCCTCCTTTGAGGTCCATAAAAAAAAACTTTGGTAGACCAGAAAGCCGCGCTTGTGAGCCTGGCTCTTCCCACAGAGTCAGTATCCCGCCTGAATTGCATCCGCGCGGAACCCTGTGGGCCATGTTTCCTCCGACATGGATGAACCCTAAAAATATTAGGCTGAGGGAAATCTTCAGTCTTTGTCCCCTTTCACTCAGCTTCCCGGCTTTGAGTTGGCTTAGAAGTCAAGAAGACAACAGGAATAAGAAATAAAAAAACACACACAACAATTCTGTTGATTGACCCCAAACCCCTCATATCAGGATTAACCCAAATCTCAGGTAAAATAAAAAATAAAAAAAGGACAATTCCAGTTGGGTGATAGGACACAAATGATAACCAGAGTCCCCACCGGGCAAAACTAGGAGGCTTTCCGGAAATGGACCACTTTCTGAAACGCTTGGCGGAACTCTTCGTTGAACACGGTATAGATGATGGGGTTGATGAGCGAGTTTAAGTAGCCCAGCCAGGTGAAGAAGTCAAAGAGGGCTCGGGGGATCCAGCAGGCGTCCCGGCAGATGGGGAGGACGAGCGACGCCACGAAGAAGGGCAGCCAGCAGACGATGAAGGCGCCCAGGATGACCCCCAGGGTCTTGGTGGCCTTCCTCTCCCGAGCGGCCGAAATCCTCTTGCGCTCCAGCGCGCTGTCCGCCAGCTTGATCTTCACCTGCTGGAAGAAGAGGGCCGAGCCGGCCAGGTGGGAGTGGGCCTCATGGAGGCCGGGGTTGAGGGAGCAGAGGGAGGACCCCGCCGAGCCCGTGATGAGCTGGGCCGTGGTGAAGCGCTTCCCGTAGAGGGAGGGCGGGTTGAGGATGCGGCTCCGGGCGGCCAGGTAGATGCGGCCGTAGAGGATGATGAGCAGCAGGGACGGGATGTAGAAGGCCCCGCACGTGGAGTAGATGGTGTAGGAGATCTGAGAGGTGTTCACCTGGCAGTCCAGCAGCTCCTCCTGAGCTTTGGCCTGCCGCCAGAAGAGGGGCGGGATGGAGATGCAGACGGAGATGGCCCAGACCACGGCGATCATGGCCGCCGCGTGGCCGGCCGTCCGGCGCTTACTGTACTCCAGGGCGTCGGTGATGGCCCAGTACCGGTCCAGGGCGATGACGCAGAGGTGCAGGATGGAGGCCGTGCAGCACGTGATGTCCGAGGACAGCCAGATGTCGCACAGGACCTGGCCGAAGCTCCAGGTGTGGGTGATGGTGTACGCAATGCTGATGGGCATGACCAGGATGGAAACCAGGAGGTCCGTCGTGGCCAGCGAGCCGATGAGATAGTTGGCCGGGCTGTGGAGCTTCCTGGTGAGGAAGATGGTGGTGAGCACGAAGGCGTTGGAGAGGACCGTGGCCAGCGTGATGACGGCGAGGACCACGGCCAGAGAAATCTGGAGGGCCTGCAGGGTCCCCGGGTCCCAGGCCTCTGGAGGATCCGTAGCATTCAGAGATCGGTTGGAGGCCTCCTGCAGAAGGCCTTCCACTGACTGGTTCACCGGGGACATTCTAGGGGGCTCTCTCTTCCCGCAGACGTGGACACACACAGCTGCCTCTTTCACAGCTGCGTTGCCCACAGAACAAAGTCATCGTGTTTCGCGCTGGCGGGGCCATGCGTCAGAACAGACCACACAGGGAAGAAACCTCAAGGCTGGACTATTTCAAGAGCATGGAGGTGACCACCAGCTGGCCGTGAAAGGTCTTTCCTAAACCGGATGGATGCCAGGACGTCTCGCTGTTCTGGAACTCTGCCCCACCAACGGTCAGGCCCGCCGGACCCATGCTGGATGTGCTAGACATTCGTCAGGGTACCACCCCAGTGTGGGCAGTGCCCTGAGATTCTTGCCTTCGGCGTTGTGGCTCCTTCCGAGGCCTGTGAGATAGACATGTTGGATGAGGAGCTCAGAACCCCTCCCCCATCCCTATTCTGAGGCCATAGGGGATTTCGGGTTGCCTCCGGGGAGCTTTGAAAACGAGAGACACACAGAAATAGCAGCTGATTCAGAGGAAGGCGGCCAGTCGGCAGCTCCCAGGTCCGTCTCGACACATCATGAGGTCCTTAGCGCTGGTTCCTGTCCCACTGATGGTTGCGAGCCTGAACAGACAAAACATCCCGGTTACCAAGACCCGCAGAATGCGTGAGCCGCGAGAAGGCAAAACAAACGGGTCCCCGTGGGTTCATGGAGAAGGGCACGTGTTCCGAGTTCTGGGGTTTGAAAAAGAAGAAAAGTCGAGAGTTATGTTCCAGAAGGACAGGTTAGACACTTGCGAGTAACTGTAGGAGGAAAAGGACCCTGCTTAGCGCGGCCCTGGTGCAGCAGAACAGGCATTCTCCACCGTGTCCGGGGGAGGGCCGCGGGGCCCACCCCCACAATTCCCAGGGGCAAAGTCTCATCGCCGTTGGAAGCATCACAAGCTTGTTACAAGCACCGTAAGCAGCTCTGCAAATCGTGAGTCAGAAATCCTTCTATTTACTCAGTGGAAACTAAACAAAACAACTCTGTGCACAGAAAAGCAGGGAAAAGAAAAGAGGGAAGGAAAAAAAAAAAAAAAAAAGGCCAGGAAAGATACCAAATTGTTAGCATGTATTTCTCTAGACATTGGCGGGGGAAGTGACTTTTCTTCTATTCCACGGGATTTCCAAATTTCCTAGAGTGACCCCCTTCCCTCAAAAGGCAAAGAACAAAACACCATTTTGTTAGCAAAGACATGAAAACCCTGGACATTTTTCACGGTGAAAGTTCAAATTTAGAAAAGATACATTCGGCTGCTGAAGCTGGTTTGGCTCAGTGAATAGAGTGTTGGCCTGCGGACTGAAGGGTCCCAGGTTCGAATCCGGTCAAGGGCATGTACCTTGGTTGCGGGCCCATCCCCAGTAGGGGGTGTGCAAGAGGCAGCTGATCGATGATTCTCTCATGGATGTTTCTAACTCTCTAACCCTCTCTCTTCCTCTCTGTGAAAAATCAATAAAATATATTTATTAAAAAAAATACATTTGGCTTTCCAAATGGAAATTGGAAATTTGGTCACAAGAAAATCTTAAAGACTCTTTTTCTTTTCCCCTCTGGCCTTGAATCTGGGCTTCCGTATCCGGGACATGGGCAAGCCCGGGCGCTCTGAGGGCATGGGGACCTTGGAACTGAGGATCAGAAGGAGGCAAACCAGCGGCAGCCAGTGCAGGCCCTTCCCTGGCAGCTGAAGTCCATGGGGCCTGGCAGGCAGCCCCTGGGTCTGTGGGGTTGGTAAGAGGAATTCCCAGACCCTTTAGCCCCATCCACACCCCCACTCCACCTGTCCCTGCCTTGCATGGAACACTACAATTCCACCAGGAATCCCTACCATCAATTTCATTTCTTCCCGACTTAGCACACAGGGAGCATTCATAGCCCAGAGAAGGCATGTTCGACCCTGGAATGGAGCTGGCAAGGCAGAATCTGTGATTTACATTTAATAAAAATGTGATGATTATAGCCGGGACCGGTTTGGCTCAGTGGATGGAGTGTCGGTCTGCGGACTGAAGGGTCCCGGGTTCTACTCTGGTCAAGGGCATGTACCTTGGTTGTGGGCACATCCCCACTGGGCGGTGTGCAAGAGGCAGCTGGTCGATGTTTCTCTCTCATCGACGTTTCTAACTCTCTGTCCCTCTCAATTCCTCTCTGTGTAAAATCAATAAAATATATATTTTTTTAAATGTGATGATTATAATTATGTATGACTATGTCTTGCAGTTTGTGTGGTTTTCAACGTAATATATTTTGAACAATAGTCTGTTCAAAATATATTACCACAACCATCTTTCTTAAAGGCTGCATATGGTCCCCTGGCTGGCTACCTCGAGGACAAGGGTTTAACAGTCCAAGTGGGAAGGGATGGCCCGTGTTCCTGGTGGCTGGAAAGGCAGGAGCAAAGGCCCAGAGGTCAGAAAGTGCACAGCATCGTCAGAGGGCGGCAAAGGGAGCAGCTGGCTGGGCTGAGAGGCCAGAGGCAGGGAAGAGCTAAGGCCCGGAGGTAGCTGAGGCCAGGGGTGGCAGGCAGCCAGGCACTGGGGAGAGTGTGGCTCGGACCATGGGGCAATTGGGCTCTAATCCCTGTTCTATGACAGCCCTCCTCTATGACCTCGGGCAAGTCCCATACCCTTTCTTAAAATAAAATAAAATAAAATAAAAATATATTATATATATATATTTATTGATTTCAGAGAGGGAGAGATAAAAACATCAACGAGGAGAGAGAATCATTGATTGGCTGCCTCCTGCACGCGCCCGCCACTTCGCCCCCTGGGCCTATGCCCTTGGCCGGAATGCAACCCAGGGCCCTCCAGTCCGCAGGCCGAGGCTCCATCCACTGAGCCAGACCAGCTAGGGCCCGTATCCTTTCTGAGTCTCGGACTTCTTCCCCCAAAACAGTGGCCACCCTGCCTGCCTCCCAGGGCTGCTGTGGAGTGTCCAAGGCTCCTGGCAAGGCCAGCCTTTGACACCCAGGACATGCTGAGAGGCGTCAAGAATCACTGTCATGCCCGGCTGGCATGGCTCAGTGGTTGAGCATCGATTCCCATTCAGGACACATGTCCGGGTTGCAGGCTCGAACCCCAGTAGGGGGCAGCTGATCAATGATTCTCTCTCATCATTGATGTTTCTGTCTTTCTCTCCCTCCTTCTCTGAAATCAATGAAAATACACATTAAAAAAAAAAGAAAAAAAGAATCATTATCATCCTACCCAACTTCCCCTCTGGCCTTGAGCTCTGCTCAGCTTTATAGGAAAGGTTCAGTCTATGTCTATGGATGGATTTTTAAACGCTAAGCAAACCTGTAATGTGGTAGTTTTCCTCCCACTCCCCAAAACTGTGGGCATTTCATCTTTTAAAAATATCTGCTGAGCCCTGGTCAGGTAGCTCAGTTGGTTGGAGCTTCAGCACGATTTGCCAAGGTTGCGGGTTCAATCCCCAGTCAGGGCACACACAAGAATCAACCAAAGAATACAAAGCTAAGTGAAACAACAAATCGATGTGTCTCCCCGTCTCTCCCTCCCTCCCTCTCTCTCTCTCTCATCAATCAATTAAAAAATATATCTGCCTAGAGGAGAGAAAACAGTCTCAATTTAAGAAAACCAATCTTGAGTATTCAGCTCAAATAAATTCTTACAAAAATTCTCTTAAAAAAAAAAAAAAAATCTTAAGCCACCTGCTCCAAAATACTCCCAAAGTTTGAAAATCCTTTCCTGGGGCTCCTGGTATGTCCCAGGTATTGAGTTGGCCCTGGAGCTGAGTGACTGGTCTGTGATGTGGGAACATGGCCCCTCCTGACAAAGAGCCAACCAGTGCTCAGGGAGGTGAGGTCACCCAGGTGGGAGTGGAAATCTCCATTCTTCTGCACACTGCCTCTCTCCAGGAAGAAAGGCCTCAGGCACAGGTGCTTCAGCAGTGAAGTTGAATCTGGATCTCAGGGAACAGGTGAAAATATGATCCCTCCTGCCCGACCCCAAAAGCTTCTGTAAAGATCCCTCCCACTTTGGTTCACATGGAAAATGAGAAGTTGGGTTGGACTGCTTGGAATTTTCTTCCTTCCGGACAGTCTGGGCGAGAGGCGCCGTCCTTTCCCACGGAAGGCTGGTGTGCTTGCCCCACAAACCCAGGCCTCTCCTTGGGTCCCAGGCATTCCAGTGACCTCATTCCAGAGGAAGGCGTGGACTCGGAAAGTCCTGAGAGGCTGAAGGGTGACGTCCTGGGAAGGACAGGCTGGATGGGCTTGGTCCTCCCTCCCCGGGCCCTCCTGCCTGCTGTCCTTCCCGTCCTGAGCACAGTTGGGGGAACTTCCCATAATCCAGCTGCCATTGGAGATACAGACTGTAGCACTAGAGTCAACTACCTCTCTCTCATCACGCTTCAAATAACAAAATTAAAAATGCAAATTTAAACAACAATGAGCCCTAACCGGTTTGGCTCAATGGCTAGAGTGTCAGGCCTGGCCTATGGACTGAAGAGTTCCAGGTTCGATTCCGGTCAAGGGCATGTGCCTTGGTTGCAGGCACATACCCACTAGGGGGTGTGCAGGAGGCAGGTGATCAATGTTTCTCTCTCATTGATATTTCTAACTCTCTCCCCCTCTCCCTTCCTCTCTGTAAAAAAATCAATAAAACATATTTTAAAAAACAGAAAATAAAACGAGACCATTTTCACCCAACAGATAGGTAAACATTTCCAATCTGATCACGTCATGTCATTCCGTGAGGGTACAGAGAGCAACAGGAATTGCCAGCTTCCACCAGGAGAGTATAAACTGGAGGCCCCTTGTTAGCAGACAATTTGGCAGTATCTCATGAAGCAAACTCTGTGGTGACTACCTCACGGGCCAGTAGTTTCACTCCTAGGTCTGCATGACAGACACTCGTGGAGGTGTTTCCCAGCTGCCAGCAGCCAGCATGGCCACGGCAGCACTGGCTGTAACGGACAAGAGGCCACCCCAACATCCACCAGCAGGGTGAGGGAACGGGGCATATTCCTGCCATGAGGCGCTGCAGGGAAGCACAGCAGGTGGACCAAAGCAGCACGCATTCACACACACAGCACTGAGTGCCAGAGCCAAACACATGCAGGAAGAAACAAACTGCTCAGAGGTCTAAATATGTGGCAACACAGAAGGAAAAGAAGGCAAACATCTATCTATACAAAGAGGAAATGTGCAAATTAGAACGGGACTTTGACCAGACAGGAGGAGGCTGCATGCGCAGGTGAGGCCCGGAGTGGAGATGGAGACAGAGCCAGGGGGCGCTGGTGAGCCGTGCCTGGCTCCGGCTGGCTCCCCAGAGCCGGAGCAGACACGGACACGGACACGGACACGGACAGCAGACACGAACACTGGCCCGCAGCCTCTGCAGCTGAGCACAGGCCCGGAGAGGAGGGTGGTTCCCTCCGGGTGGGTCCCTCCCAGCTCCCATGGGTGCCAGCGGTTGGCTTCCACCTCCCACGGAAGCCGAGTGGCTCCCGTGGAAGCAGTGTGGCTTCGGGTGGTGGGCTGCGGTTCCCGCCGGCTCCTGTGGAAGGGGCAGGCGGCCTACTGAGCGCGATGTCACATGATGGGCTACGAGTTAAATACAAA